CTAAAAATTGTATTCTGTAACAGTTAGTATTTCGTATTCGTTCCAGTTACATATATGCATTTATATATTAAACGTTATATCCTCGTACCTTGATATAGCAACGCCAAGAAACTGATTTGAATAATCTTTTTGAAAATAACGAGTTATATTAAAAACCGACATAATGCTCCAACTAAAGTTAGAAGAACTTGCAAAAAAACTTCTTTCTTGTTTAGAAACTGACTCAAGAACTGACAGGGGAAGAAACTAACGAAACTCTTGATCAATTTATTTCCGATAACATCATCATGATGACCCTAACAAATAAGAATCGTTAAAATCGGACGACGTGGTAAATAATTATCGTCGAATATAAAAAAGTTACTGACGAATCCTCCTTTATTCGCAGTCGGTTAAAAAGTTTACGTCAGTCATGTCGGTTTTTTCGTCAGATTGTCATGGAAAAATTTCATAGCCTATCGATAGCTTCAAAGCGCGAACGGTTCTTTGGACTCGTTTTGGTACCACGTCACCGATTTCGCAAATCGATCGCAAGAAATTCGCCGAGGTGAGCAGCCCCGGCGGACAAAACAGCAACGGTCACAATAGGTGGCGCGGGTGACGCAATCACAATAAAAACCCAAATCTTCTGATCGAGGTGTTTGAACTGGTTACTAGAGATGTCGAAGCTGATCTCACTTTATGAGAATAATAGAGGCCAAGACAAAACCAGTCATAGAATACAAATTAAAAGATGGCTTTGCCTTTTCTTGACCTGAATAATTATTTGTGGAACATTAAAGAAAACTGTTAGCCATTACGTCAGTACTACTTTATCAATTAAGTTTATTTTCCACTAGAGCACCGAGATGTTGCTCAGGAACTAAGGTCACGAAGATAAATTTTTCTATCGGTAATGCGTAAATCAATTCAATAACAGATCATGACCGTGACTCAGCGATTACATAATATGTATGAACCGGTCATGACGTTTTATGCACTGACACAAATGCACCAGAAATACGATTAATGTTCTACATTGTAAACAAGCCGGTCAATGTTTAGGTTCCATTATCATACGCAAAATGAATCATTATTGAAAGCTGGAAAATGTAATAGGATTTTAATATGTGCATATTAAAACTCGAAGATAATTCTGTCAACATTGATTGTTATTGAGAAATATTTATGTTTATGAGACTTTTTACTCCATATGAATACGATAATCAAAAACAAGTATATTAAGAGCAAATGAAGAGGCGACGAAAAGGATGATATTACCAAAATAAATGATAATGAAATTGAAATAACTATACTTATTTAACAAATAGAAAATTATAGAGTATTCTGCATTTGTACCATTCTCGGTAAAAAATTATAATACTAAAGCCACATTAAGGAGCCTTATAATAAAACGTGAAGCAAATAGTGTCAATTATTACAGGGATATTGTTTCTATAATAGCGTTTTTTGTACTTTGCCTACAAAAAATAATCTGAGTTATTACATTTCTAATATTGTTTTTACCTAGCAGAATAACTTTTGTTTAATTCTAGTTCCTTATAAATATCGAACTCCAGGCTGGCTACATACACCTAGACAGCGCAATTATCTTTATAAATCGTGCAAATGTTTACGTTGTGTAAAAACAATAAAATCAAAAACAGATAATATGAACAGGGTGGAGATATGTAGAATTATAAATATATTCTATTCATTTGTTGTGTATCAAGGAAGTAAATTATTTTATTTATAAAACCTTTCTTGAAATTTCCCTACTCAAAAATATTCTTAAATACGATAGTGCTAAAATATAATTTTCTTAACAGCAATTAATGTTAGTTAAATACACATGTAAAAAGTAAGCGACGAAATGTAAGTCAATTATTTTTACAAATAAATACTGTAATAATGACGTAGTGATTTTATGGCGCGAAAACTTAGGAAAAATATTTTATTAAAATATGAATTAATATATTTCATTTTATTGATTGCGGCTGTTGATTCAGGTGGCTTCTAAGATAGCGCTAAGAAATTCAACCACGTCACTTCTGCTTGTTTGCATTGCTTTCCTTTGAGCCAATATATATTGAACCGCCGTAAACGTAAACCGCCAAAGCAAACACGGTACGCCATTCTAAATTTAAATGTCGAAACACACAATCGATCCCAAAATTCGCGGAGGGTAAATCGCGTGAGGAGTAATGTGCTGGATATCCAGCCTCCATATTTTAAATAAAGTGATATATGAAGACGCAATTACGCAAAGTACCACGTATCGATTGGATCGCTTCACGGAAGGATAATAATTAAAAAAAGCCTTGCTACTTTCAAAATAACCCCTCCGAAAGGTATTTAACCTTTTCCAAGAATCAAACAACTCATCGGCTATTTTTAAACAATGACCTGAATGTGGGCTAAGCCTCCTCAAGCCGGCGCCAGTCTTGTGTGAAACCTAGTTACGTATACGTCGTCCTACATATTTTCCAGAGGTATGAGGATGTTTGTTAAATAACGCATTCGTCATACGTTGTTTCCCTATAAGCGAAATAACTGTTGTTGTGTGTTGTTTTATTCATCGTATTTTTATACAGAGTAAATTCAGTATTCCAGAGAAATAAGTAAAAAACTACTCCGAAGACCGTCGGGTATAATATGCCAATATTGTGCCCCAAAAAAAGCCTTCGCTAAGCAGTAAGGAATACGTTCATATGTTATTAATTCATCTTTTACTCTTTAATATTCGTTGGTTCTTAAAAGGAAATGTAATTTTTCGGCTGTCCCACGAATGGGCATGTCTTTGCGGGTAAGTACCAAGACCACGCAGAAGACCGGCGTGATGTGGAAGTGTTAAGTGCGTTATGTATGGTAGAGAGGTAGCCGGGCCCCACTTTATTAAATGTAAATGTCCATGGGCGGCGCTTATCACTTAACATCAGGTGGACCGCCAGTTCGCTTGCACCGTTCGCACATAAAAAAATTGTTTTCAAGTGAGAATCGCTCAAACGTGCTCAGAAACGATGCGGCGGCCATGTGAAAACCGCGATAAGGCATGGCAGGAAACATGGCGAGGAGTTCGATTACCAATATTCGCGATAAACGGCCGTCACACATACAAAGTGTACAGTTGCACACAAACGTATGTTTAAATTGATGTTGGTATATCTCATGGCGTAGTTAGCAAGGTATCGTCTGTTCCGCCGTGGTTCGATTTCCACACGGGACAACTATTTTTGTGACCCGCTGATAAGTATTTAGGGTCTGAGTGTTTGTCTACATAAATATATTGTTACGTGTTAGGGTTCGAAGGATTTGGAGAGAACAATATTGTATGTGAAACTTCCTCACAACAAAATATAATGTTATTCCACAGTGAGGGCAGTTATTTAAAAAAAAAGAAAAAAAAATTAAGGAACTCGCTCTAGTGTTTCGGACATCCGATAAAATTTAGGAAAAATATCTGCATCCAGTACTCCGTCCGCCGCCACAGATGCGTTACTCTCTAGACGGGTCATATAATGGTCAGTTTCAGTTGAAATTTAACAATTGCTTTATAACAATTACTCGCGACAGTACCAAATGCGCTAATAAGCACATTGTTTTGCAGATTGGGAGTCGACACCGGCGCGAAGGAAGTCACCGGCCTCGCCGGGCCATTGGCACAATCGTGCCGAGAATTCGCACGGTCAAATATGCTGTTTTAACGGTAAATCTATAACTCCTTACTTTCTACCAATGACCGTTTCAAACGGAGTTGAGTAATGCAGTTATCTAATTTGATTTTCAAATCGCACCGTCCGTTCGAGATTTCGCGACTTTATAAACGAAGAGGTTGTGTTGCGAAATTTGATTTTTGTTTTCCAGTTTACAAACTTAAAGCTTAATGAAAGCGCAATAATGGTAAAATTCATTATTACATTATATTCATTAAGGTTGATAACTAATAAGTAAAACGGACGGGAACTTTTATCTTTTAATATGTTTATTCCGAGTAAGATGTCATTCGGGTGAAGCCAACAACTTAAATAATTGTAAGCGGATAGGTTTAGCCGTGACAGCTTAATGTCTCAGCGCTCTCTTTCGATCCAATATACTCGAACCACTAGTTCTTATCTCGGCGCTGGCACTTGCAATTTTAAGTGCTTACTTCCCACGTGCGTCGTGGTCAACGACGTGAGGAAACAGGCATTTTTTCGAAACAATAATAAAGAAAAATATTTCGAAGATACGTGCAGTCTGCCACTCGCGTTAAATATAACAAATGTCACAGTGCCACAATGCCAAATGGCACAGTCATCGCAAGAACAATGCTTCGTTTCGGCACCGTCTCGTCCGGCGTCTGGTTTCCTGCGAAACACCGAGATCCGTGATAGGGTAAGGAAGTCCGTTTCCTCCGTGGCGAACTTTGCATGCGACGAGAAAGTCGCAGGTAAATCTTTTTCATGGCTCATTAGGTCGTTAGCAAACGGAAGAACCTTATGAGATCGCATTAGATTCCAAACACGTCCTCGCGGCTCGGTCCGGGCCGCCCGATAGAAAAACACATCATGGCGAAACGCTACGTGCCAAATGGTATGGGCGAAAAGCCTATAAAATTATATAGCCTATATAAGTAGAAGACAATTATGATCGCGGTAAGACAATGGATGCAATAAACGGACACGGGGCCATATGGGTGCCTTTGTCCGACCTCCATTTGTTCTCCGAGCGGAGAATTCTCCAGTGAAATTATTATGTCACGTGTAGCCTTACGCTTCGTGAATCAGCATAAAATGTTGTAGTGTATTTAATTCGACACATTAAGTTGTACCACATGTGTTGGTTTACATATTGGTGTACATGTATGTGGTTTCCAAAATCTATGTATCTACTTGAAGAATTGTGCTATACCCTAAAATCTCTCGGCTGGGCTCCCATTTAATACAAACTGAATTTTGAATTTATTGGAACATCGGATTTTTTTAATTATAAACGATGATTAGTTAAAAGAAAATAATAAACATAATATAAATTATGCTTACTTGAGAAGAAGGTTGAGGGAGCTATCGTTTCTGGTCGTCGGGACGTCCTTTACACTGGAAGGTTCACTACGAACCCCTCGGAGGGAAAGTCTCAGTTGACGCGGTATGGAAGCAAGGAGGCCACTGCTGTTTCTTCTCTGGTTGAGGCTCTTTGAGCGCGTCAGCTTGTTGGACTCAATGTCCACGGCTTGCGGGTTCGCGGAGACCTCGTCCTTGCAAATTGTGGCACTCGAAGCGTTCGTCTTGATGATGGTGGGCACGGCTGTCTTCACTTCGCCCAACAGCTTCTCCCACGGCGACTCGACATCCTCCTCGGAGATCGTCTCGAAACTCCTGGGGCCGACGGACGACGAAGTCTTGTCGGACATTTCCGAAGGTGAAACAGAGTAATATCAGTGGGAGCGGACCGCAGCTAACCAGACACCCGAGGCACTTCGTCACTTTGGATTTTTAGTTTCTTGACAACACTTCACTCTTATCATAATATCCATTTGTAAATCATAATGTTTGGGATAAAAATGTTGACACTGAAACAATAGAAAAAAGACACTTTAAAAAAGAGATTATTTCTTAATAAGGAGAGCAGATACTGATCGAAGGTAGTGCGAATAGAAAAAATATTTTGTTTAACTCGGCAGAGATAATTTATTTTTATTTCTTTACAAACCTTGATTTGAAATGAAAATTGACCTTACTTTAGGATAACTTTATCTTGTGTTGTAAGGACGTTTTACAAACGTAAATTTCACGCGGACAAACACCCAGATGCGAAACAACTATCTGTGGGTCACACAAATAGTTTGCCCTGTGTGGGAATCGAACCCACGACCACCGACGCCGAAGCCGATACCTTGGCAACTGCGCCACGGACTCATCAAATTTGGAAGGACGTAAGAGTTTTCATCAAAGTTTTATTTAATTAGGTATGTCCGTGTATAAGCGTAATTATGGGTTTAAAAAGAAACAAGATTCATGTCTATCGTATAATTTGATCTCATCGTATAAATTACACCTTACCTACCTACAATAATCTGCGCCTCATAATTGCTAAGCAACGATTGTTTGGAGAGAAAGGTGTTTAAGTGCCAGGCGCAGGCAGCCGAAAATGAAAGCTAGGTATACAGCAGCGTCGACTTTCCATTTGTTTAGCGGACCGAAATCATGAAAAGGACCGCTTGCCCCGTAACGGGGTCTAAGACCTATGTAAACAGGTAAGCTAAAGAAATGTTTTAACGCTAAATTACCCCAAAGATCCGTTTCAGAACGCGTTATTTTGAGTACCGCGAAAGCGTCCTCGATTGAGATCGGTCGAGTGCGTACGTGAGGTCTTAAACACGGGTGAAAATGAAATGAATATTACGTGGATATAACAGATTCATATATACTAATAGTTTCGTATGTTTCACTACTTAACTCGCACTTAATGGTCGATGTTTTGTGGACACCGGGGTGAAACTAGACAATGGCATTACATTATTAACATTCTTAAGAAGTGACGTCCTTCGCAACGTAAATACCCATTTTACGTACATGCGTACGAGAATTTCAATGTGATTACACTTTCGTTCATTATACTTAAGGTACCTAAGCCAGAAACAGCTGAGCTAGAAACTGAAATTGCGGGAAATAGTACAAATTTATGACTGACTCCACGAAAAGCGAGGTTTGTTTGATAGGTACCTCAGACTTCCGTCATTTATGAACCTATATTAAAAATTTTCTTTGCTTTAGATTCGCTATGGTGTTACATTTGCATTGAAATACATCTTTCGGAAGTACATCAGGGAATAATAATAAAAAATAATATAGAAAATATAATATAGAAATATAATATAGAAAATAATATTTGAAGTTGGTTTTGTTTTCTATTAATGAAAATGTCTTTTAAGTATACATCCTAGAAAATAGTTCACAAAAATTTAACTAAATGTTTAAACAGCAACACAATTATGTTGCGATTTACAGGGCGCACAGTTTCTTCGACGAAACGGTTAACAAAAATTTGGATGACGAACGAATTATAAATATTCATTCATTGAAATAAATAAATATTTATTTAAAAATTAATTCTTATTAGGTTTTCAGAATAATTCAGTTTATTAGCACCTTTTAGGAAATAAAAAGGGCCTACCAAACCTAATTTTCACGATGGCCTTCTTAGCGTTACGAGGAATGTTCAAAAAACAATGAGAATGATGTACTTATTGATTGTAATTTGAATAAATTATTAAAACTTTTTATAGCTAGATTATGGGTACTAGTAAGAACACTCTCAAATAATTACTTCGTTATCGTAGCGTCGAGTAAAGTTACACAATTGAGTGTGGCTTGTCATTATAAAAATAGATAAAATTAAAATTCCTATAGTGATTGAATATTTTCACTTGAAAAAATTTCCTACATAACAACTTTTCAGCAGTTAAGACAAATTCTTACAGAGGACATTGGAATAACATTAAAGGTTTACTCAGGAAATCATTACAAAATTTCAAATAAATTTATTGGGTGGTCGTTGTGTAACAGTACGTTTTATTACTGTAGAGTTAATCATACGGTAATCATATCATATCATATGGTATCACGGTAAAATGATGGACACTTTTATTTGGGACAGCCAAGAAAATGTAATGATAATCCTGTAACAGGAAGTGTGTGCGCAGAAGAAATATAAACATCGCGTCAGGGAATTTTGTCAAAACGCAGGGGGAAGCTGGCGATATCAAAGCATCGGTACACAAGTCTGCAGTTGCTATGGCAGAAATACAAGGTCTTTGATCATCCCGCATATTCTTCAGAGTTGGCGACTAGTTTACTACTATTTCTATTTACTTCCTCGGCAAAATTATACGGATAAAGGAAACAGCCAAGTAACACTTTTTATTGAGAATAAAAAAAATCTCTTACTTCCCTTTTTGAAAATCCCTCGTAGCTGTGCCAATATCTATGGTTATAGGCTATTGACACTGTTCATGATTGTACTGTGGATGTTCTTAAACGTTTCATGTAAACGTTTACTATTTATTTAGGTCAGATCGTGTTTAGTTGAAACGATTTTAATACTGAAATCGTAATAACCCTTCAAATGAGTAAGTTCTTACGCTTATCCATACTTTTTACCTAAATCCATACGTTTTTATTTATTATAATATGGAAATGAAACAAACAGGCCATCTTATGGAAAATGCCGGTTCCTTCACCCTTGGAACAACAGCGGCGACGCCAACTTTTTCTTGATCCTTGTTAATCTGTTATACCATACATTTTAAGGCACAAATACTTATATTTGCCGCATGGCTTCACCGTGGAGACAAATCTTCACTAAAAGCCATTCATTCATTACATTATAATATTTACTTATTTAAGAAGGTTACCGCTTATTACACCAATGGACTTTCCAAGTACATAAAAGGACAAAGATGCAATTCATTGATACACAGGTAAGTAAAAGTCTGAAACATTAAATGAAAATGAATTTGAATAAGGTTTCTTCAAGGATTCAGTATTTACACCTGTTTAACTTATGTAAATTTTACTTACTTTAATGATATCATCACCTGATGAGCAATAGTTTTAAGTTTTTCTCAGTAATAATTAAAAAGCGTTATGACTCAACCCACGGAACGAACTTCATCCGAACAGTCTAATGACAGCACGTTTTAAAATAATCAATGAATAATTTCCAGTTATTAAATTTTTGTAATAATCGATGCCGACATAACCACTATTCCCAACCATTTAAATATTTTTTTATTTTATTCTGTGTTTTGAGTACTTGTTGTTATAACGGCAACAAAATACATCAATTCAACTGTCTTACTATCACGGTTCATGAGATACAGCCTGGTAACAGACGGAAAGATAGACAGCGGAGTATTAGTAATAGAGTCCCGTGTGACCCTTTGGGTACGGAACCCTAAAAACAGTGTATTAACCAAAAGTCGACCAGTTTTGTAAAGCTTAGGCTGACGCATAAACATTCTTAAAATTCACTTTCCTTAATGTTATTTTTACATACACAAGAATTTAATTTATGTCAAAACCCGTTCTGAAGAATGAGACGTAATTATTAAGCTTGTGTCTAGAGAAAAAAAAATCTTTTCTAAGAGGAATGTGGTTACTACACGGAAATCTGATTATTTGAGTGAAGCGTAAAAGAAATAAATAGTCGGACAGTATAGGCCGTGGAAGACAGACGTCCCGACTTAAACCAGTACGTTGGATGTATTTTGAACGCGCTAGTCTGCCAAGTGGTGCGCGATTTGCGAATATAGGTCAATGCTCTAATGGCCGTTATCGATCATAATAAAATGTATTAATCATCATCAAATTGCAATAAAAATTTTCATTGCAATGAGGCCTTAAAAATTACGAATAAAATACTAACTGGCTGTTGTCAATATTTTTTTATTTTCTGCTTAGCATATTTTAAACTTAATTAAAGAAAAGTATCCGAATGTTGAATTTTATTGTTATAATTTCAATTTTATATCAATGACAACGTAAATGTAACATATTTGGCTTATCCATAGAACATTGGAAAACCTATTGCGAATTATCAATGGAAGCTACTGACTGCGTTACTAATACGAGAAAACAATTGTATTAATAAATTAACATCAATTATAATTATCGTCACCGATAAAAACACTTTTGGTCTTTAAATTGAAATACATGTTTTAATTGTGATATATTTGTAAGTGAAAATTTATTACTTATTGGGTGAGTTTCAACGAACTAAGAATTTTGATTTAAGCCATCAGAAAGTCTCAACCGTCTGCTGCTTTAGCTACTACCAGATCCGAAAACCATCGCATGGCCAAATCGCATGGTCCATCTTAAATTGTAAATTACGTATTAAATTATCTCAAAGTTTGCAGATACGAAACTGCAACCATTAATTTCACACGAATTCTAAGTCAAGATTTTAGTTTGTTTTACATCCAATACATGTACATTACAGGCACGTTTTACCAGGCTTTGCATACTTTAACGAGCGCACAATGGAATTACCGATTACCTAGGGTGACTCTAATTATATACCTTCATAGAAGCGAGGTCAGCTTTATCAAGTATTTAAATCAACGAGATGCAGACGCCATTGTTTCTTGAAATTATTTTCAATTTAACTGTTTTCAATGTAACTGTTGTGCTTCAAATCACTAATCATTCTACAAAATGTTTGTATTAAGTTATATATAAGGTTATAGATATGCTATTAATAATTTCTAACGTATGGTTATTGCCTAGTATTACCAGTAATTTGTTTATTTTCTTCAAATAACTGTTATGGTATTCCATAGCCTGATTGTACAATTATCTTTTATGATTAAAATTTGATCATCAAAGCGGTTTCGGATAGTTTGCTTGA